ACATGTAAAACAATCTTTTTTTCTAATTTAAATATAAAATATTCTTTCTCTTGCTTTTTGTCTCCACTTAACACAAATCATCATCTTTAAGTGTTAAAGAGTTAGAGATTTTTCCTCTTTAAATATGACTCATAAACCTAATTGAATCTACTATGGTTTCCTAGAACTTAATTCTTTTTTTTTAGGACCAAATATTTCCCAGATCCCAAGAGAATGTAATTCTTTGTGGTTTTTTTTAAGGCAGTGGTGATTAGATTTCTTTTTTTAATTACTTTTTATTTATGTTAGAAACAATCTTGTTTCACTTGTCAATCCCAGCTCCCTCTCCCTCCCCTCCTCCCCTGTCCTCCCCACCAGGCTCCCCAGTCCCCCACCCAATCTCCACTCCAAAGTCCAAGGAGGGTGAGGCCCTCTATGGTGGATCTCCAGTAACTGTCACTTCATCCAGGGCAGGGCCTCATCCCTCCCCCCAAGAGTCCCAGCTGAGAGAGCCTCCCATATTGTGGCATGGGCACTCAAAGTCTATTTGTATGCCAAGGATAAATACTACCCAAGGCCCAATAGATTACCCAGGTCTCCTCACTGACAACCACATTCAGGGGTCTGGGTCAGTCCCATGCTTTCCACAGAGCCATCAGTCTAGAGTAAAGGAGCTCCCCCCTTGTTCAGTTCAACTGTTTCTGTGGGTGCCAGCATACAATCCCACTGTCAGGGAGTCTAGGAAACAGAACCTTCATCCTGCGACTGATGAAAGCAGAGGCAGACACCCACAGACATACACTGAACTAAACTCCTAGAATCCAGTGTCAGAAAGAGAGAACTGATGGACAAATGAGTTAAGATTGGGTTGGTGATTAGATTTCTAAAAGAAAATTATGTTACAAATACAATATAGAACTGTATCAGACTGTGTTCATACATGTAAGTAATGTTATGATGGTCTCAGTGTAGATGTGTTCATGAGAAGGTGAATGAGGAGAGTTCAACAAGTAAAATCAACACTAATATCTGACATCATCACATGAATTTTATAGAGTCATGAATCCAGATGGAGATGCAGTATTAACTGTGTTAGTATGATCACATTTCCACACTCTGCTCATAGTCTAATGTATCCACTTATCCTTCTTTTCTCCCCAATAGAGTTCATTGAGGAGGCTCACAATTAATGATCGCAAATGCAAAATGTTAATTGGGTATGGTAATATATGGCATACTTTCATCCTGATGATCTCAAGTGTACAAAGCCAGCTGATCATAACAGTTAAATCTGTGTCTGTGTGTCCCAAACTAAGAATTAGAGTGCCTCATGAGGATGCTCACTCAAAACAAAGCTACTGCATTTGAGTTTTGGATATAAGCACATGTTATGTATTTTAGGAAATACGTGTCATCTTTGGATATGCACAGTAAATCACTTGGTCCAAAAAGAGAAGTCAACTGGGCATTGGTGGCACATGCCTTTAATCCCAGTACTTGGGAGGCAGAGGCAGGTGAATCTCTGTGAGTTTGAGTCCAGTCTGGTCTACAGAGTGATTTCCAGGACAGGCTACAAAACAATACAGAGAAACACTGTCTCAAAAAAAAAAAAAAGATAAGTGATTATTTTGTTTCTTGATACTATAACAAAATATCCAATACAAGGTGTTTTACAAGAAAATGGACATATTCATCTATGTGAATCAAGGAGTACAGAAACAAGCACCCAAACTCTTTTACATAGTACTAACATCCCTTTGGATATATCACAATATGCCTACAAAATATGATGAGTGGAATTTTGAAACATACTGGCCATAAGGAGAGAGAATGAGAGACAGAGACAGAGGGAGTGAGGGAAGGAGGGAGGCAGAAGGAGGTAGAAAGAGAGGGAGTGGGGTTGGTAAAGGAACAGGGAGAGGGAAGGAGAAACATTGAGCCTGGAAGTGAACAGACAGGCTGATGAGTTCAACCCATTCTCATTAAAGTAATCTCTTCTAAATGGGATGACTCCACAGCTTTGATCATCTTCTTTGAGCCCGATCTCAGAAAGGATCTGCCAACTTGTAACAATGACAAACTGAAGACCAAATCTCCAGTAACATTATATTTATCATAGGAAAGAGAGCAGGTACTTCTTGTGCATTCTATTATTGCTAGCCTTACATTGGTTGTGGAGAGCTGAACTCAGATATCACATCTCTATCACAAAGCAAGAATTTTATCACTCTGCAGGATTCCTTTTTAACTGGAATTGGTATTAAAGTCTTTGTAAAAGACTTTTTACCTATATTAACTTTTCATATATCTTGGCATGCAAACATGCTCTATCATACCTGGTGATAATAAAATATATAAATTTAATGAAAGTTGTTTTATGAGCAAATATATTAAGGAGAATGTTCTCATGTCTTTTAATTGAATCTTTTCTCTTTTTGATGAATGTCTAGGTGTCGTTTTGAACCAATTTAATCATTATGTTGCTTAAAACATCTATACCCTTAATGTGTTTTTAAATTTAATTTTTGAAAATTAGTTTTAGCATTTTAAATTATGGTTATATATGTATTTGTATATGGTGTGTTCACAAGGTTCATGTGCATGTGGTGGCATGTGGCTTGAGCTCAGACTGTTTTATCCACTGGATATGGGTCCTGGGGCTGAACTCAACAATGCAAACATTTCACATTTATAACCTGTTGTATATTTACCTAAAATGTAATTTTATATATGATTGCCAAGTTACATTCAATGGTATTTCCAAAGTTAGCAATAGAACCCACTCATTATACTCAAACAGAATCCGGGCGTGGGTGGAGCATGCCTTTAATCCCAGCACTTGGGAGGCAGAGACAGGTGGATCTCTGTGAGTTCCAGGCCAGCCTGGTCTACAGAGTGAGTACCAGGACAGCCTCCAAAAATACAGACAAATATTGCCTCGAAAAAAAATAGAAACAGATACAAATTCCTTTTTATACTCAGGAATCCCACAAAAACACTAAGCTAAAACCTATAGTGTATATTTAGAGGATTCGATGAATACATGTTTTAGTTAGCTCTGTGTAGCGTGCCTTCCAATAATTGCAAATGGAGTCTGCATAATAACTACCAATTTACTTCCAAACTCTTAAATTCACTAACATTTTTACATAAAACATTGGATTCTCTGGTGACATTCTGAACTCAGAGCTCTCTGCCATTAAGATATAGGCTACCCAAAAATAATGCCTTTAGCCTTCCACAGAATACCAATTTTGTTCCTGAGTCTTGTTAATTAAAATCAATTGTGATTACTGTCATATAACTATCAGAATGTTACTTCTTGAGGTTATATTTATAGTATAGTACGTATATGCAGTCTTTCAGGTATACTCAGTTCAGCTAGTTTCAGCTCAGTAAAAAGAGATACATTATAGTGTAGGTAGTAAATGAGAACTTACACTAACAATGCAGTAATATTCTGGGATGTAAACTCCTACATTAATAGTAGAAAATGAGGCTATAATTCTCTTTTCCTTTAATAGAAGAAAATCTTATTGTGATCAGTTTTGGAATAAGGCATTAGGAATTCTAGTTAGAATTAAAGTGAAGTACAGGAGACATACACTGCAATTGAACAGAAGTATCTGAAGAAATGTACTCAACAGATAATTCTAGGAGTCTCAATTTTGGGTCCAGAAAAAATGTTGGTTGCTGAGAGGTCCAATGAATATGCATTTCTGTTTTAATTTATAGGCTTTGTTCAATGCACATGTACCTTTCCAATGATGTAATTGATGGTAATCATCTGCATGATAGAATATTCATATAATAATAAATAGGAATTTTTGTTAAATCTTATTTTTATGATATTCTTTTCACCCAAAGTCAGTTGTAGAGTGAATTTGTCAACTAATCTTATTCCATTGTTTATTTGTGAGAATTTTTGACCATTTTAGAGGTGATTATGAAATCATGGATTTGAATGACATTACTGTTTTCTTTGGAGAGTTGCACACAGCTTAGTAAGGTTTTTGTTGCATTCCTAGTTAGCTCACTTTTCCCTGTCTCCTACTTGCACATAAGGATGTAAACTCTTAGCAACTGCTTTTCACCATGCTAATAATAATAACTTTGGAATCATGAACTTCTAATTTATATACTTTCTTTCATAAATTGTCAAATCAGGATGTTTTTCATAGAAATATAAAGGTAGTCAAGAGGAAAACCCATTCTCCATGCATATAATATCACAGGTGACACCTTTATATGAAGCCCCTGTTCTCAGGAATTCTTACTTCAGGTTAAAAAATGGACTTCAGATTCTCAGAAATATCTGTTCCCAGTATCAGTTTGTCTGAATACTAGTACCTTAGAATTTTCAAAAATTTTAAATGTTTTAATTACTGGCTTATACTTTGTGTGACTTATCATTAGAAAGATTCAAAGAAAAGAAGAGATACTCAGAAACCCTGGACCTGCAGTTATCAACAGTTGTTAGCAGTTATCTGGATGTTGAGACTCCAAAAATGTTCTTTGAAAGAGCAGTCAGTATTTTTTACCTATAATCTGGCCCTGGTATAGGCTGCTATGAAATCATGAGTTGAAATTACCTTGTTGCCGTGTTAGATGCCAGATTCCTCAGAATTTTAATGCCTTAGTAAGACAACCATTTTCAGACACAAATCTAAATTACTGCAATTTGGTGTGTATGTGTGTGTAGAGGTGTAAGTCTCTCCTCTCAGTAAACTCTCTCTGTGTCACTGTCTCTGTCATCTCTGTCTCTGTCTCTCTCTCTCCCTCTGTGTGTGTGTGTGTATTTCATTACTCTATTACTCATGTGAAGGATTCCTGTGTTTTTAATGCTGTTAGGTCTGCAAAAACAGTCAATTTGTGGCACAGAAAATTTTCTATGATTTCTACACAAAATCATCATGTTGACATCTAAATCCTGACAAAGAGATACAATCCTAGCTCTGGAGATATCTGAATGAGCAACTGGGGCAGACTTGACTCTCACTTCTGCTTCCTTGTGTGGTTTATTACATGGTTTGAATCAATGTGTGTGGGGTACTCCAAACTTGTTGACAGTAATAAGTTGTGACATCTTCAGGCTGCAGGTTGGTTATCTTTAAAGAATAGTGTGTGCCAGATCCACTGCCGCTGAACCTTGGTGGAACTCCATCTGCCAAGATACTTATACCATAGATCAAGAGCTTAAGTTTCTCTGGTTTTTGCTGATACCATGCTATATGCCCATTAATGTTCTCATTTGCCAGGCATGTGATAGTGACACTTTCTCCCAAAGATACAGACAAGGAGGATGGTGATTGGGTCATCTGAATGTCACATCTGGCACCTGAGATTAAAAATAGAAAACAAATTTCCTCACTATTAATCCTGTTATAAGAAAACTTCCCAAAGACCAGACAGCACTGACCATCCTCAGCTGAATAAATTTCCAAAGCTCTCTTACTTACCTGTAAGCCAGAAGAGCAGAAGAACGAGGAGTTGAGTGGGGGCCTTCATTTCTGTGCTGTAACCTGTCTGAGACTGTCTCCAATACAGGGTGTGACCTACAAGAAATTCTCAGGAAAGTGGGCTGTGCTCTGGGCACATGCAAATCAGCAATGACTAGCTCTAGTCAAAGGACTAGCCAGGAGTGTCTTTTTTACATGCCCATGGTTGAATTCTCAGATAGAGAGAAAGTCTATGTTCATTTGTAACAAATGTTTTCCTCTTGGGCACCAAAGAACACTATCAGTCTCTGAGTTGTACCTTATTCTGATTTGTATCATAAATAATGTAGAATTTCCTTGTTGTAGTTCCTCCATAGCAGGGACTGTCAGATATGTTAGAGTTATAGAAAGTATATAAATGACTACAACGTGCTTTTATAGGTATCTATAGATGCTATTGAGGACATGTATGTGTGTATGTGTGTGTATTTGTGCATTACCAAACTCTAAAATTTAAACTTCTCAACCTAAATTTTTGGTTGTAGAATGATGATCCTATGTCATAATTAGTAACTTTTACAACATTCTTATATTAGCGCTTGATTTTAGGAATGTTCCTTTCCACAGTGCTTCACATTCTGCCAAAATGTAAAGAGATATTTTAGTTCATACTTCCCACCTCAGTAAGAGGAGATAGTAAACTGTACTTTCATTGCTTAGATTCCTTTTGTTGAAATGCAGGTTGTCTCTGATGAAGAACTTCTCTGGGAAAGAGCTGTTATACTTTGCTAAGTTGGAAAATGTTATGAAAATATAAATTTCTAAATCTATTCATGTAATCACAAAAGCCCAGTGTCATACTTTTAAGGATCAGTGTGAAGTTCAAAAATCTGAATCACAGTTTTCACATATTCTTCTGCACAGGATTCAACAAAGTTGTGGCCTCTGGTTGCCTTATTCTATTATCTCCATCTGTACATTCTCTCTTCCTCTTTTAAGGGATGGGCAGCTCAAGGCCCCTGCATAAAACTCAGACCCACTTCCGTTGTTGAAATATTTGGAGATTCTTTAAGGGCCTTTTAGTCCAAATCATGTCTATATTAATTTTCTGAGGGAGAGATTAGATGGAACATGAGAAGTTAAAAGGTACTTTGTTCTGGATTGTAGACCTATGTGAATAGAGGGACTTTTCTGTGGCTGTTATCAATAAGTGGAGGCATCTTCAGCCTCCATATTGTTGATTATGAGAGAGAGAGTAGTCCCAGAACCATTGCCACTAAAGAGATCTAAGACTCCATAAGCAAGGTTGGATATGCTACAAACAAGGGGCTTAGGAATAGTTTCCAGATTTGAATGGTACCAGTGGAAGTTATCAGAGATTCCAATTGTGTTTACAATTAATAGATACCCACTTTTCTTGAACATCAGACAGTGATGCTGGAGATTGGGTGAGAGCAACTTCTCCATTCAATAACATGAAAAGAGATAGAAGTTAGTAGACCAAGATTTCAGCATATCTTCATTCAACAACACAGTATGCAAAGAAGAAAATATGACATATAAGAAATAGAGATATAGAGATGAATGATATGGAGGAAAGAAAGAAAGACAAAATGAATGAGGGAAGGAAGGAAGGAAAGAAGGAAGGAAGGTGCAGATTTTAAAGTAAAACTTCTCTGAATGAAGCATGCTGAGTGTCAACTTGGAACCTTCCATCTTCCTTATCCATGGCAAGTTGCAGCTATCTGTGGCCTCTAAGAAGTAAATATGCAAATAACAGGTTGTAAGCTATAATGTTCTTGACACATAAAGACACTTCTGCTTTTACTTACATGCAGTATTTAATTTAGTGAACACTAACTCTCAGTTTTATTTTGCTTTTTTCTACAGTGTTATAAAGTTCTTGTACATATTATTTCCATGGATTTTTCATAGGTAAACTTAGAAATGACCAACATGACATGCAGGATCTTTTCTTCAGCATATGGAACTTATTTTTCCATGATAAAACTCAGAAGAGGAAGATGGAAATGTACCCTGGAAAACCTGATGACCAATCTCTGCCTCCTCCCTTTATTGAAAGATGCTCTTTCTCTTCACCCCAGTCTAATTAAATGACCTTGAACATATAAAGCCCTAGGAAAACCAGTGTGCCAGCATGTGATCTGTAACTCAAGTAATTTCAGGGATATTTCTACAGAAGTTTAGCACTGATGATCTCTCCTGTTTGAAACAGAAAGAAAGGGGTATTGATATTGTAACATTTATCATGAATCAAACACTACACCAATTGTTGCTATAAGAGACCACTGTAGTTCTGATCCCCTGAGTATTGTTATAAATAGGAGTGAGAAAATGGGGGAAGTTTGACTCCTCTGAAGACTGCAAATACTCAGGGTTTCCAGATGTGAAGTCTTCCTCACTGACATCCAAGTTCAGGGTGTCTGGATAAGTACCATGCTGGCCTTTCAGTCACCAGTGTGGGGTCCATTAGTTTCCCCTTTTTTTGGATCAGTTGCCTCTGTGGGTTTCACCAGCAAGGTCTTGACTCCTTTTCTCATCACTCATCTTTATACAGGGTTACAGGAGTTTGGTTCAGTGTTTAGCTGTCGGTGCCTGCCTCTGCTTCTATCAGCCACTGAATGAGGGTTCTAGGATTTCATATAAGGTCTTCATAAACCTCATAATCAGGGGATGGCATTTAAGGTAGCCTCATTGCCAGTTGGAGTCATTCTTGTAGATCTCTGAAAAGGTCACTGTGCCAGATCTGTCCTCAAACCAATAATGGATCCCTCTGTTATGGTATCTCTCATCCTGTTCTCTATTCTTACTGTGACTCAACCTTCAGTTTTGCCCATGTCCTCCTCTCCTTTTCTTCCACTCTTTTGCTCCCATTTTCATTTCTCTTCCTCCCCATGCTCCCAATCCACTCAGGAGATCTGGTCCCATTCCCCTTCTCCAGGTTACCATGCATATCTCTCATAGGGTCGTCCCTGTTTCCCAGATTCTCTGGGGGTGGGATTGCAGGCTGCTAATCCCTTGTTCCATGTCTAAAATCTATATATGAGTGAGAACATACCATGTTTGTCTTTTTCTGAATGGGTTGCCTCACTCAGGATAGTTTCTTCTAGAACATGGTACACTCTTGTAGTCCTAGCTTTTGAGAGTATGAAGCAGGGATTCCAGCTAGAGCTACAGGATCCAAGACTTTAACAAATAATTAATAATGAAACTATTTAGGTAATATTGATAACAATATATTAAACATAGTAGAAAATATGAATAGAATAGAGAATTTATTACTCCCAACATAGACAAAATATCTACAAATGAGTTGCATCAGCTAAGACTATGTAAATGTGAAAAAGGATTACCTAAGAACAAAGTTAATATACATAATCTTTGAAATCCTCTAAGCATATTTATGATTAGAATTTATATTTGAGAATGTTGGCTCATAGTCATCTAATTTGAAGCAATCCATCCTTCAGTAACAAATTTTAGTCTATTGCATGTTGGTTAGGTATTATGGTTCATAGTGGAGTGTTGGTATTTCCTCCATAGTTAACTGGATGCCTGTGTGTTGCTGCTGATGATATTAATGTTGTTGTTGCTGCTGCTATTTCTGCAGGTCAGAATCAAGTACATTTACACCACAAATCACAATGCAGCAAGAAGAAAATGTTTCAAATATGAAATAGCTAATATATTGAATATGTACTGCTTTGGAAAATATTTTAATTACTCAGCTGATTCATTCCATGGCAAAGATATTTGGGGACTTCTGTATGTGAGTATATGTAGGTATACTTTTAATTCCAAATTCAACAATTTAAAGACTAGGTTTTACAGAGTTCTAAACTTACATTATAGGTAGCAGAATGAAGTCAAATTGTCGTAAAATGAAAGATTTACAACTTTTTCATATTGGTTCTTGGTTGTTATATACACCCATTCCACCGTGCTGCAATTAAGGAAAAATGCAGAAAGATGGGAAACATTTGATTGTGTACTTCTATAATACCTGCACTGGGGAGTCATAGGCAGGTAGATTTCTGTTAATTCCAGGCTGTATTCGTCTATAGAGGGAGTTCCAGGACAGTCTCCCAAACTACACAGAAAAATGATGTCTCCAAAAATAAAGAAACAAACAAAAGCAGTAGGACACAATCATCAAAATAAAATTCCCTCCCTCAACAAGAATTGGTAGAAAATTCTTCATTCACTGTATATTTTCTTCCCCCCAGGAGACTCAGGCAGTCTCTGATGAAGGACTAAGGTGGGGAAGAGTTGTTGTTCCTCCCTGAATTGGAATCACACACACACACACACACACACACACACACACACACACACACACACATCTATATCTATATCTATGTCTATCTATCTATCTATATCTATATCTATGTCTATCTATCTATCTATATCTATATCTATGTCTATCTATCTATCTATATCTATATATATATATATATATGTATTCCCTCTGGCCCAAAGCCCATTTCAGTAGTTCAGTTATCAGAAGGCAGAAGCTACTACCACAGACTTGTTACATGCATTTTAGCATTCTGCTTCACTTTACTAGTTATAATATAATCATGTTTCTTTAATTATAACCTGGCCAAGATGAGAGTGTTTTTCTTTCCCATATGAAAGTGTAAAAGCTCCTTTCCTCTCTCTTCTTATGGCTATTTAAATGCCTGCCTGATTTACTTTAAATGCTTTAGATTATTGTGTCTTCTTTTTTTGTTTTTTTTTATCATTTTTTATTTTAATTTTAAATACCTTGTTTTACATGTCAATCCCAGTTCCCGCTACCTCCCCTCCTCCCTCACTCCCCTTCCCCCCCACCCTCCCACCCTATTGCCAAATCCTTCCACCTAGGGGATATGTAGAGTCTGTCATTTTACTCTGGGTAGGGTCCAGGCACTCCCCTAAGAGTCCAGGCTGAGAGAGCATCCCTCTTTGTGCTATAGGCACACGAAGACTGTTTGTATACCAGGGATGGACACTGATCCACAGCTCAGTGCCCCATAGGTTGCCCAGGCCGTCTCACTGACACTCACATTTGGGGGGTCCAGATCAGTACCATGCTGGCCTCCCCACTGTCGGTCTGGGGTCCAAGAACTCTCCCCT